GGTGGTGGTGGGGGGGGGGGGTCTACGGAGTACTTTTTAAACCATTAAGGATAATTTTGCTGCTTCAAAGTATGTTACTCCCTCTGACCCAACTCATTCACTGCACTTTGACTATGCACAATTATTAAGAAAGTGACAATTGTGTAGTTGCGTTTTTTGCGAGAGAGACATAGTATGAAACACATAATGCTTTCTTCAAATGGAATTGGGCAAAGAAAAACTGGGACAGACAGAAAAAACAAACTGGATAAATTGGTGCAGAGGGACTAGTGGAAGACATCATTTCTGTATTTCGTGCAGTTGAGATGTAGTTCAATTTAGGAATTTGCTTCTGGTTAAGTATCACATTCTCCGTAGTTAAATTCTCGATTGAAAGTGATTTGTGTATCTGTAAAACTGTTCAAGTCAAGGTTTGTTGCAAGGGGTGGGTGTTTATCATTACTACATCATAATATTTTGGATTTCCACATGAGTGTTTTGTTTTCTCTGTTACACTTTTTTGCTGTTTCACTCAGAAGTTTATTTAATGGAATTTCTAGGTTGGCATGATGATGGACGTTCAAACACCTGGGGATGGACAATCTGACAATGGTTCTGTTAATGCAGAATCTAAGCACAAGACATCATCTGATGAAGGTTCTGTTAATATACCTCCTTTGAATGTGTCCCCAAGTCTATTAGCAAGCAAAAAGAATGAACAGGGCAGCCAAAAGGAGAGTGTTATTGGTGGAGCTCTTTCCATGATGGATCCTTATGGAATCCCTTGCATGCTGGAGATACTTCATTTCCTATGTTCTCTTCTAAATGTGATGGATCACATGGAAATTGGTCCAAGATCCAATCCTATAGCATATGATGAAGATGTCCCCCTTTTTGCTCTAGGTTTAATTAATTCAGCAATTGAATTGGGTGGGGCTTCTTTTGGAAGGCACCCCAAATTATTGGCCTTGATACAGCAGGAATTGTTCCGTACTTTGATGCGATTTGGCTTGTCGATGAGCCCACTAATCCTTTCAACAGTTTGTAGCATTTTTTTAAATCTCTATCAGCATCTCCGTGATAAACTAAAGCTGCAGCTTGAAACTTTCTTCTCTGGCGTGCTCTTGAGGATTGCACAGAACAAACACGGATCTTCTTATCAACAGCAAGAAGTTGCTTTGGAAGCTCTTGTTGACTTTTGCAGGCAAAATGTTTTCATGACTGAGATGTATGCTAATTTTGATTGTGACATCTCCTGCAGCAACATATTTGAAGAACTTGCTAGCCTATTGTCAAAGAGCACGTTCCCAGTCAATAGCCCTTTAACAGCAATGAACACCATTGCTTTGGATGGTCTAATTGCTATGGTTGGTGGTGTTTGTGAGAGAATCGGGCATGGTCCAGTTTCAGAACTTGTTTCATTAGATTCTGAAGAATATAAGCCGTTCTGGACTGAGGAATGTCAAGACTATAATGAGCCTATCCATTGGGTTCCATATGTGAGTAAGATGAAACATATTAAACAGAAGTTGATGATTGGAGCTGACCACTTTAACCGAGATCCTAAGAAGGGTCTGCAATTTGTTCAAGGGATGCATTTGTTACCTGGCAAGCTAGAGCCCACAAGTGTAGCATGTTTCTTGAGATACGCACCTGGATTGGATAAGAACCTTATCGGGGATTTCTTGGGGAGTCATGACGAGTTTTGCATCAATGTGCTTCATGAATTTGCAAGGACATTTGATTTTGCTGGAATGAATTTGGATATAGCACTACGGATATTTCTGGAAACATTTAGATTGCCGGGAGAATCACAAAAGATACAGAGGGTACTCGAGGCATTTGCCGAAAGATATTATGAGCAATCACCAGATATTCTGGCAAACAAAGACGCTGCTCTCCTCTTGTCATATTCAATCATAATGCTCAACACCGACCAACACAATGCCCAGGTTAAGAAGAAGATGACAGAAGAGGATTTCATTCGCAACAATCGGAGAATTAATGGGGGAAATGACCTTCCTCGTGAGTTCCTGTCTGATCTTTACCGCTCCATAAGTGAGAGCGAAATCAGGATGACCCCAGATGCTGGTACTGTATCCACTGCTGTTATGATGCCAAGCTACTGGGTTGGTTTGGCCCACAGATCCAACCAAACCGCCCCATACATAGTATGTGATACGAAACCTTACCTTGACAAACATCTCTTTTCTATATTGTCTGGGCCTGCAGTCGCTGCCATCTCTGTGGTTTTTGATCACGTCGAGCACGAAGGCATTTTGCAGACATGTGTTGATGGATTCATGGCTGTTGCTAAGATTTCAGCATCCTATAACTTTGATCAAGTGTTGGATGATTTGGTTGTGTCACTATGCAAATTCACCAACATGATGCTGCCATCATACTCTGAAGACTTCATTATTAGATACGGCGATGATAGCAAGGCAAGAATGGCCACCACTGCAGTTTTCACAATAGCAAATGAGTATGGTGACCACATTCGCTCGGGCTGGAAAAACATTCTGGATTGCATCTTAAGCTTGCACAGGTTCGCCCTTCTTCCTCCTCGTATTCTAAGTGATGCAACTGATGATCAAGACTCATCGTCTGCTGATGTGGGAAAAAACACATCCACTGTGGATCCCCCTCAAGTGCCTCCCCTAACCTCGAACAGGAAGTCATCCGGCTTAATGGGCCGGTTTAGCCAGCTTCTGTCCCTGGATATAATTGATGATCCTGTAGATGACCCCAGTGAGGACCAGATTGATGCACGCCAACGGATTCTCAATATGATAAATGCTTGTCACATTGATAGCATTTTTGCTGACAGTAAATTTCTGCAAGCAGAGTCTCTCTTGCAGCTCATTCAGGCGCTTGTTTTGGCCGCAGGGAGGCCTCCTAAAGGGAGAAAGGAAGATCATGGAGGAATTGCCGTGTTTTGCTTGGATGCTTTGATTGCAATCACACTGAACAACAGGGACAGGATAATGCTTCTCTGGCAAAGTGTTTATAAGCACATAGCTAGTATAGTCCAATCAACTGCAATGCCATGTGCTCTGGTGGAGAAGGCCGTGTTTGGATTGCTTCGAATATGCCAGCGGTTGCTTCCTTACAAAGAGAATCTAACCGACGAGCTTCTCATGTCTCTGCAGCTGGTGTTGAAACTCGATGCCCGCGTCGCCGATGCGTATCTGCCGCAGATCACGGAGGAACTGATGCATCTCGTGAAGGCAAACGCCCCGCAAATACGGTCTCTCGTGGGCTGGCGCGCGATCGTTTCCCTGCTATCGATCACGGCCCAGCACCCGGAAGCATCCGACGCGGGGTTCGAGACGCTGTCGTTCGTCATGTCCAGTGACGGGGCCCACCTCTTGCCTGCGAATTACATCCTCTGCGTCAACGCCGCCAGGCAGTTCGCTGAGCACCGGATTGGCAGCGTCGACCGGTCCGTAACGTCCTTGAATCTGATGGCGGGCTCGGTTGTCTGTCTCGTGAGGTGGTCCAGCAAGACGAGGGAATCCCTAGCGGAGGAGGCTACTTCAAAGATGTGCCAGGACATATGGGAGATGTGGCTGAGGTTGGTACAGGGGCTCAGAAAAGTGTGTTTGGATTCAAGAGAAGCCGTGAGGAACCACGCGATTCTGATGTTACAGAGGTGCCTGACAGAAGTGGAGGGAATCCACATCCCAAATGACTTGTGGTTGCAATGCTTCAATCAAATAATCTTCACACTAACAGATGATTTGGTTGAACTCACACAGCGTAACAACTCCGCGAAGGACCATGGCATCGAAGGGTCAATCGTCTTGTCCCTTAAGCTGATGTCAAAAGTCTTCTTGCAGCGCCTTCATGATCTTCACCAGCTGGAGTCTTTCCGCACACTATGGTCAACGGTTTTGGACTGCTCAGAGAGATGCGCGAATGTGAAACTTAGGGGGAAGAGAAGTGGGAAGATCAACGAATTCGTTCCAGAGCTCCTCAAGAACATTTTGCTGGTGATGAAGACCAGTGGGGTTCTGTCACCCACAGAAGAAGACAACAGTCTGTGGCAACTGACATGGTCTCGTGTGGAAGCCATAGCCCCATCTCTAACACCATCAGAACTATTTCCCCCAGCTGAACTTGTAGAAGAAGAGCATTTGCAGAAGCAGCCAATTGTCGCATCTAACCAAGAAACCACTTCGTAAAACACGCTGACGCGACTATGAGAAGAAACGCGAGGGGCCCTTTCACGGTAAGGCTTGGCTGAATCTCTCTGTACTGTGAGTTTCTTTCTGGGGAGAGGAACTGTTTGGTAACGCATCATCTGTTTCACAGCCAAATAATTGTGTGAAGAGCAAAGCTGCTTGTTCTACTCCACTTAATAATCTGCTGAGATGCAAAATAAGCCCTCCCGGTTATGGCTACCAAACGAGCCCTAAAAAGAGTAATATGCCTGAGAAGAGAGACAGTACATGTAACAAAATGAGTTGCACACCATTTGTTAAATTATCATTATTTTTGTTATACAGAGTAGTACATTGTCACTTCATTAAGTTACATACACATATATCTATTCACAATGTAAGGATAAATTTTGTAATTTGATAGAAGAAGTTGAAAGAGTCAGAAGATGTGCTGCTGTTAAAAGATTGTTTATATTCCCCTTGAAAATTGTTTCTCATTTTTTTTTGGTCTTAGAAGTTGTAAGTTGGTGATTTTTTTAAATTCCCAGTCAAACCTATGGCAATTGCAGATTGGAGTGCAGTGCAGTGCATTTGTTTTTGTTGGTCTTCTCATCTTACTTTCTAGCTCTCACTGTTTTTATTTGTCCCTCTTGTATTCGGAAACCTTTTTTTTTTTTTTGCTAAAAAAACAAAAAATGTCAAATTACATATATTATAACGTTCTATAAAAGAATCTCACAAATAAGTTTTATTGAGTGTATGTTAAATTCATTTCAACAAACAAATTTTAAAATGTTAAAACTTCGGATGATTTTCACAACATTTAAACTCAAGATTATTTTTGAAAAAAATAATACTCCACTTGTGATTCTTGACACAAACATTTCCAAAAAGAAAATTTTTGACACTCTTTAATTATGAACATTACAAAAAGAATACTTACACTTTGTTCAAGGAATGAAAGGAAAAATAAAATAAAATAAAAGGGAAATGAACTAAATAGAAAGAAAATAGTTTTTCCTCTTATTTTGGTGAAAAAAAAAGAGAATATCACTATTTTCTTTTCATTTCAAATTTCATGAAAAAACAGTGTTAATATTTCAAATCTTGTGGGTTCCAACTATGTTTGGAACACGGAAAATCTCAAGAAAAATACTCCCAGGGGTTATATGGTTTGCTTTATTACCTTGAAAATTATGAATGTAAAGTCAAATGCAATTAAAATTAGACAACATCCACACCCTTTAGCCTTAATATAATGATAAAATTATACAAATAGAATGAGTGAAAAATAATAATTTAATCGAGGCTTTTAGCAGATTAAAATTTCTTCTGATTTTTGATTCCTTCCAAATATCCATATCCCCATTTTCTTTCACCACTATTATCCAATTTGTAAATGGACCCTTCACATTCTTAAACAGCATTCAACACCTCAGGGTAGAACCCTTGAGGACAATTGTGAAAATGGAGTAAACAGTGAGCTCTCAACATTCAAGAATGGTTAAAAGAAATATGGCAACAGCACAAAACATCCCGCTGAACATGGGTCCCGCAATGCCTCAAGGGGTTGTCATCGTAGCCTCAAAATGGAAATACAAAAGAAGCCAAGGCTACCATAGCAAATGGCCAGCCATGGATGGACCTGTCTTTACCATATTTACACAAGTAATGCAGTTACAGTCATGTAGTAGGTTGAGCACCAAGGCCTTTAAGCACAAACTCCAACATACGCAGGAACTGCTTGACGTTTTGCAATAGAGTCGTAATTGCAGAGCTATATTCTCTGTAGTCCTGTTTGTGAAGATTGTACACAACACATGAATTAGCACATTTAAAGTGTAATGGTTCTCTCAACAAAGTTGTACTTAAATACCAACATCTATTGCTATATCAAGAGCCCTTTTTCTCGCCCTTGTATTTAAGAATGCAACATCTCTCTCTCTATCACCCATAACCTGCATATATTCGCGCAATCGTTTGACACCCAAGAACAAAAAGGACAACAAGGTGAAGAAAGAAAATCAGTTCATAGTCTGAAACATGGCTGGTTTGGTTATACCATCAGTTTGCAGGTTGTGATTAGTTTGAGGAGTATGAACTTCCTCTTCAACTTTTCTGCATACTGTAAAAGCACGAGTAGTATAACTTTCAATCACAGCAAACACACACACACACACACACACACACGTGCAAAAAAAGTGAAACATGGATTTAGATTTCTCAGTTTTTATATGATAGAATAAACTCGGGCATATATGAAAATAATTCTCTTTTGACACAAAGGGCCAGTCTCATAGTACGACACTGGTCCATGTGAAGGCCCTATGGTCAAAAGAACTCCAATGATAATATACAGTATTATTAAAAAAGAGAGTTTTGAACATATACTCTAAGTAAATTTAGTGAATTCAAGTTGATCGTCTATTTTGGCCAAAATTTTCTTTTCTTCCAATTTTCTCTCGATTTCTTTCCTTAGTATGTTCAAGGTTCCAAAGCAGCAAAGCCCAAGGGCCCCCAGTATTCTTGTGATGACGTACCAGCTTTGCTGTGTCAAAAGCAGACATGTTTTGATGAATAAGGCAATTACACAACAACCCAGTGGTTTGCCAAAACGATGGATCAATACTAGTGAGTGCACTATCATGATTGAATATGACAGCTCTCAAGACATCTTTGTCATTACCAAGCTCATTAAACAACCTGCAACTGTAAATAAAGAAACACAATAAAAGATCAAAAGAAGCACATTGTGGACAAAATCAGCACAACACTCGACAAAACTCATGGCATAAAGAAGACTCACACAGACATTGCATGGGCAACATTTCGAGCTCCAACATCTGATACCGGAACATAATACATTATATGTTTCAGAACATCGAAGTTCAGATCAGTCAAATTCAATTCCTCATCTTTGTAATACCTGCAAGTGCTTGAGAGCTAGAATGTTACATGGTGTTTGACAGATTGGTCATGTTTGACAACGCTTTTGGAAACTGATTTTCAACTTTTTAACATCAATTGAAATCCAGAAGCTGAGAAGCACTTATGATTCAATGCACAAAATAAACACTTATCTTAAAGTTTAATCGACCCACAAATACCCTCATAGAAGCATGGAAGAATGGAATTTTATACATTCTAAGTTCAATCCCAGAAAAGAAAATGTTACTCTCGAACCAAAAATTAACAAGGCGACCCATCTGCAACAGACTGCAAGAATCCAAAATCAAGATTCATAACAGCAAAATATTTGGGTTTAACCAAGAAATGACAACCCATACAGCACAAATTTAGAAAGAATTAAGTGCTAGAATCTCCATTAGAAGCCGCTAAACGAATAAAAGACAGTGCGATTTACGATTGGCCAAGAAAGATAAAGACAGATTCTTGAAATCTCAAAATGGGGAATCAAAGAAATGAGAAACGCCCTGCACTAATAATTATGCTGCGCAAGAAACACGAAGAATACGTACAGAGAATCTCAGGTTTCATTACCTCGGGCGGTTTCCATTGCCTGATGGGAGGCGGCCGCGGCGGCGCTTCATGAGTTCGTATTTCGCGGCAGTCGCTTATCCCTGAGTCCCTAAACCGGATTTAAATATCTAGATATTGTAAGCACACCAAGGTTCAAATGATATTGAACCCGGGGCCGCTCCGGTGCCTCGTTCGTAAAATTGACGGTTCCTACCCCCTAACCCCCGGTAAACCCCCACCCCGGCCCCGACCCGAACACATCCCCCACCCCCTTCAATTGCACCCCACAAGTTGATTTTGACTTTGGAGTCAAAATTTGACTCCAAAGTCAAAATCAACTTGTGGGGTGCAATTGAAGGGGGTGGGGGGATGTGTTCGGGTCGGGGCCGGGGTGGGGGGTTTACCGGGGGGGTTAGGGGGGATAGGAACCGTCAATTTTACGAACGGGGCACCGGAGTGGCCCTGGGTCATCCTATGACATTAAGGTTCAATGTCATTTGAACCTTTCCCTTGTAAGCATTGATTTTATGAACTGATTGCAATTATACAAAGTATGTGATATTACAAAGTTCCATTTACAGGTCAAAACAACCTAAATTCTTTGTGTATTTGCTATGATTACAATTCTTTTGTTATGGATGAAGGTAATATTGAGCATCTCCAACCATGCTTGTTATATGAATTTGATATTTTTACATTATACCAAGTGAATAGTAATATAGCAAGCACTTTTTTGTTTCATCCTCCAACCATAATTTTTTGTTTTATTTTTTAGATATTGGCTAGCTAAATTTTGAGGGACGTGTTATATTTAGCAAGCCAAAGTCATTTTTAGGCAAACTTGTTAAAATAAAGCATACCCTTTGGAGAAGAACAAAAGTGTTTAACTAGTTATATTATAACTTTTAGCAATCTAAAATGATATGGTTGGAGATGCTCTTACAATGTCATTTTTTAGTTTGTAGATTTTTTTTATAATTTTAAAATATAGAATTTTTTTTCATCATCTCTGATGGAGCCAAAATTTCACCATTATTTGGCTTTGGGGTGTGATGGAATAAATCAAAATGGATCTCTAAACTGTCTGCGTTTCTTTAATTAATAAAGTAGCAGTTAGTCAAGTAATGCAACTTTCGACATTGAGCCGGGGGTCTCTTTGGAAACAGCCTCCCTACTTTCGAGTAGGGGTAAGGTCTGCGTACACACACCCTCCCCAGACCTTATTCTTGTGGAATTTAACTGGGTTGTTGTTGTTGTTGTTTTTCTTTTTACACTTATATAGTTATATTTTACATAAAATCATTTAAAAACAATCTTAGTCATATATTACAAGTCGAAATGAGACATATATCGTGAAATGGAAAAAATATTTATCATTATTTAAGTTATGTTTATAGTACTCAGTTCATATTTGTATTGCCAATTATATTTTACTCCGTATCTGATTTACTCCAGAGTAATACAATACTACATAATATTTTTACCGCGTATCGCATGTGTTAAAATCTAGTGAGAACAAACACAGATTATGCTTTGCTAAATCTTGTAAGACCTCTACTTAAATTAGATGCATTTTGGAGCCCCTTTGCCTTAGAGCAGTAGTAATGGGCATAACGACCAACCACGTTATGCTCACTTTGACGTCTGGGGGCGTTAAACATCGTCCCCGCCGTTATCGGGGCGTCAAAACTCCTGCGTCAAAGTTTTGACGCGATTTGAAGGCGTTATAATGCCTCCTTTCTACTTTTTTCTTCCTCTTTTTTCCTCTTTTCTTCTCTATAAATTAAATTAATTTTTTTTTAAATTCAACATAAATAAAGATTCCTCTCTATCTATCATCTTTTTTAAAAAAATTATTATTCAAGTATTTTTTATTTTTTCATGAATGTAATTTTTTATTTAATGAATGTAATTTTTTAATTTAATGAATGTAATTTTTTATTTAATGAATGTAATTTTTTTTAATGAATGCAATTTTTTAAAATGAATGATTCAAAATATTTGTTTAAATTTAATTAATTTAATTTTAGAAGATGTGTATTTAAAATGTAAAAAATGAAGATTTGAAGCCCCGGGATTTCAAACTCATTTCCAATGAAACTGTGAGGTAAGTTAAAGCTAATATGACAGAGAGAGAAGGTTTGAAGTTCCGGTTGAAACCTCAGGGCTTCTGGAGTATTTCCAGTGCCCTTAGACTTGTCAAGAAATTGTGTACTTCTCTTAAGTTTTTCTATGTAAAATCTCACTTTGATTGATTTCAAACACGAAAACGTGTAATCCCCGAGCTCTTCTGGGTCCCCCATATATAAATAGCATGAAATATGATCTGAATTTGAATGATTCTGTAAATTTAATTTTCTTTTCTTCCTAAGAATCGCGACAAGTATACTTAATAAAAATAAGAGACAAAAAGAATATTCTGCAAAAACTAATCTTTGGGTCTCAAACTAATCTTATTACTATTGGATTAGGCAATCATTTTAGCGGTATTGGTTTGGTATGATATTATATTTTCTAGGCCAAGCCATTTCTTTTTGAACACTTCCTATTGTTCCTAATATGACTATTCATTGATCCAAGGCTGAAGACCGAATTATACAAAATCATGAGCTGAAGACTGGACATAAATCTATTTGAGTTTGGATTAGACTGGACCAAAATAGACCGAACCAGTACAAATCGAACAAGAAAAATTATTTTGATCTATTAAATATGTTTTAGGCTTTTTAATTTCTACTGTGCAAATAAGGAAAAAAGAATGGACAACTTAAAAATAGAGACGACATTTACTACTGCGCATAATCCTAAAAACTGCCCCGAGTAATATAAAATAATATTTTTTGAATTGTTTGGAAAATTACTTAAATAAATAAACATTTTTAATTAAATCAATTAAGAAATCTATATCAAAATAGAGCATGAACGTGTAATAACAAACTTAAAAACTAGAATTTTAGTGTTTAAGTTTTTAGGTATGATCCTAAAAAAGGTGGAGAAGTGTTTCGAAAAGTAAAAAAGAGGAGGAAATTAGCTAGGTTGAAGTTGAAGTTGTTAGCAATTAAATTGGACAAGACAATGTTCCGTATTAGGTAGTATTAGGAAGGGGCTGTGAGAATGTCAGCAACCTGATCCTTAATAGAAATGTGATGTACATGAAGACGAGAGGCTGTGACCAGATCACGCACAAAAAAATAGTCCAAAGCAAGATGTTTCACACGGGAATGAAAAACTGGATTCTTGCAAAAATAGCTGTTGTAGAACGCCCCCCATCACAAACCCCACCCCAGTCAGAATCAGTGAATGCAGTGAGTGAGAGGGAAGAGCCACAGGCTAAAAATAAACCATGAAAGATGGGGTACCCTTGAGGTACCGAAGCACACGCTTTTAGAGCAACCCAATGTTCAGATTTCGGAGAATGCATAAATTGAGCAAGTCTGTTAACGGCAAAAGAGATGTCCGGTCGAGTAATCGTTAAGTACTGAAGCTGGCCCAATAAACGATGATAGGCAGTGATATCAACATATTCTGTAGGAGCGGCAGCGGACTGAGGAACTATGGGGGTGGAAACCGGTCTAGCCTCATCCATGTGATGTTGCTGCAAGATATCTGAAATATATTGGGCTTGGGACAAAAACAAACCCTTTGGAACAGAGATGGCCTCAACCCCGAGAAAGTGATATAGTGCCCCCAGGTCTTTAGGCTTATCCTTCTCTGCAACTAGTAATCACCTACTATATTTATGTAGTATATATATACCTCCTGAAATACTGAATAGGATAACCTCCTCCTCTTCTCAAGATGCATAGATTGTGGTAATATGGATCATTGTGCAACAGATTCAATCAATTATCCTCCCCTGCAAATCTGTAAGATGGCAATAAACAAACACATCAGCAAACGTTCTCAATCAATTAACACCCATACACACACAGGAATCAAAAGAAAGAGTTGCACTTTTCAAACAAGACGACATGAACACTCACAAAATGATGAACTTGGAACTCACAATAAGTGCACGTTTTATCTCTAAAGTTTACGAGAAAAAAAGATCTCCCATTATTACCAAAGACAAGCTAAGGAACCAAATGCGCATGATGATTTAATCTATAAAAGGAAATAAGGGATGATAAATGATTAATAGAATATATTGACATACGTAAGACGATGACCAAAAGGATTGACAGTAAGGATAGTATTTGAAGATATTTGGACATTGTGAGAATAAAGCATGAAGACATTACATAATGACCATGGAAGATTTATAAAGAATATACTCCATATATATATATATATATATATATATATATACACACACACTCCGTATGTATATATATATATATAGATGATAAATGGAAGGACCTGTACAAGAGCCATAACGTATGCACTTTTTTGTGGATAATAAGTATGCACTTAATGAGCATAAAGACCACAAACCCAATGTGTCAAACAAAGACATTACACAAATAACAATAAGGACCAAATAAAAGTGCATCAAAATTAGAAAAACAGAATTTATAAACTTACAAAACTGGTACGTATATGATGGTATCTAGTTTGCAGAAACAAAACAATTAGAGTGCTTGGACAAACAAAAAAAGCACTTGAAGTGGGGAGGCCATCATCAACATGATATATACTCCATTCCAAACACCCAGCCAACATCAACATGACATATACTCCATTCCAAACACCCGGCTCATCACTAGAAAATGACTTAAATAGAGAAGAAAATGAAGCGAAATGGCAGCAAAACGAAACAAAATAAAACGAAAGAATCAAATGAAGACCATGTGTATCTATTGAGAGAAAAATACCTATTTAGTCTTCTTTAGGGAAAAGTAGGTAGTTTTGGTCTTATATGCAACAAATTTTACATTATAGAATTACTTTTTCTATTTTGTATGAAGCAAAAGATTTTAGAATCACAATTAAAATCTGAATGATCCACTAATCAATAATACCCACTAAATCAAAAAGCAAACCTACTGGCCCTATATACGTGTGAAAGAAAATGATGCACCCCAAAATTATAGTTAGTGAAGAGATCGAAAGGGAGAAGTAGCTACCTTGTGTATGGCCATATGAATGAAGGGTGGTAAGATGCAACGCGTAGCTCGGGCAACTCCGGATAATCCAGATCATCGATCGCCTCAAAATGATTATATTGTCATGCTCCCCAAAATAGAAATATGCTTGCGTGTTTGGATCAAACCCCATTAGGCGATCCTCGGAGGTGTACACAAGCAATCGCTCTTGCTCAGGAGTCACGGCAACCACCTCCGTGAAGCTGTCGATAACATCAGGACGATAGTCTTCGTCGATCACATCACCTTCACCAAGAAAATCTTCAACCAAATCAAATTGTGCTTGAAAATCCCAACTGCCATCCTCCCCAAGGCTCCAGACTACGACAGGGTTATCATCACCGCCATCCCCCGTGGCTGCACAATAGACATACACCCGACCAGCAAGAACTTTGACGGTCGGGAGGTTGCGTGCGCCAGCGCCTTCACCTACCCATGCCGGGAAAGGAATAATGCTGGCAATAAAGGATTTCGTGACGAAACTTAATCCTTGCACGGACCAGCTCTTAAGGCCATCTCTCACGGACCACAAAACGGTTTAATCATTGAGGGAATTGGTGGTCTGGTGGAAGAGAACCGACCCTGGCAAGAGCGGGTGAGGGCATCTCACCATGGCCCAGAGCTGGTCTCCGGAATTAGGGCACACTCTTAAAAACTGGACTTCAGTCAACAACCCCTCTCCAGATTCTGCTTCGACCAGGTGAGAGATGAGGAGTATATAGAACTCCCCCGGGAATGGCCAAACCCCACCTGCAATTCTTCTAGAGCTTCGAACCTAGGGGGCAGGGTTATTGCCGGTCCCAGCACCCTCAAGAAGGGATTCCAGATGTGAAGTGTTTGCAGCTCTTCTTCCTCATCCTTTACTCCTAGGAGAAGGAGTCCCTTGGAAGAGCCGTACAAGATGCCCATAGGAATTCCATCCATTCGCTTACTTTAAGTGAATTTGATCGGCCTATCCTGCCTCATGCCGCTGGTATTGTGCAAGTCCCCAATCCACTCCAGGGGGTCCTAATCAAGAGAAAGTCATGATCTTGTACGGCTCTTCCAAGGGAGTCTTTTTCCTAGGAGTAAAGGATGAGGAAGAAGAGTTGCAAACACTTCACATCTGAAATCCCTTTTTGAGGGTGCTGGGACCGGCAATAACCCTATCCCCGAGGTTCGAAGCTCTAGAAGAATTGCAGGTGGGGTTTGGCCATTCCCAGGGGGAGTTCTATATACTCCTAATCTCTCCCCTGGTCGAAGCAGAATCTGGAGAGGGGTTGTTGACTGAAGTCCAGTTCTTAAGAGTGTGCCCTAATTCTGGAGACCAGCTCTGGACCCTGGTGAGATGCCCTCACCCGCTCTTGCCAGGGTCGGTTCTCTTCCACCAGACCACCAATTCCCTCAATGATTAAACCGTTTTGTGGTCTGTGAGAGATGGCCCTAAGAGCTGGTCCGTGCAAGGATTTAGTTTCGCCACAAAATCCTTTATTGCCAGCATTCCTTTCCCGGCTTGGGTAGGTGATGGCGCACGCAACCTCCCGATCGTCAAAGTTCTTGATGGTCGGGTGTATGTCTATCGTGCAGCCACGGGGATGGCAGTGATGATGACCCTGTTGTAGTCTGGAGCCTTGGGGAGGATGGCAGTTGGGATTTTCGGCCGCAATTTGATTTGGTTGAATTTTCTTGGTGAAGGTGATGTGAGAAGAGGAATAGCTCCGGTCGGAGATTGGCCCCAATCCACCTCTCATAGAAACTGAAAGAAGTAATGAGACTGTAGATGCGCTTTGAGAGCCTCAAGCATCTCCGTATGACATCAAGAGGCAATCTGCACAGCACTTCCTCCAAAATCTCCTGTGGAAGATCGAGAAGAACAATCTCACGCCTCTTACCTTGCGTCGCCGCCATTGTTGCCGATCTTGACCTACCTCTACCCTACCTGAGCTTTACAACGATGGATTGTATTTATTTCTCTCTTAATAAAGTAGCGAGTTAAGTGTTACGGAGAGTATCTCACTTAAGTGTTACAACGATGGAGCCGTTGGATCTTTTCTTCTGTTTTTATAACTTTCCAAATTTTGACTTCCACTTAAAAATTGTGGGTAGATGATAATGACAACAATATCTAATCTAATAAATGAGACTTAGATCTTTTTTTGTTAATTTAATTTTTTATCTATTACGTATTCCTTTTTTATACAGTTCATTCATAATAAATCATACTCCCTCCGTCTCAAATTATTTGCCACATTTGCTTTTTCAACAGTCGCGGAAACTTTTGTTTATTTCTACGTTTTTATTGATTATTTGATAAAATAAAATATTCTTGACACCTCTTATTTCGAAGTACTATCAGAAACAACTTAAAATTAAATTATACTACGGGGTATTTTGAGTGGTTAAAATTATACTCTCTCCGTCTCGGAGTATTCGTCGAGTTTTGACTTTTAGAACCGTTCATCTAAGCACTTTGACTCATCAAATTCTCTCAATGTGTAAGCCTAAATATAGTCATGTGTGATTTTGTTTGATTTGTCTTAACATATATATTATTAATATATAATTTCTATAATTTTTTAATATACAAATTACAAGATAAAATGGATTAAAGATGTGTATTGGATTGTGTGTAAAAATGAAAGTGGACAAATACTTTGGGACGGAGGTAGTATTTAGAGTGGTTGTAATGTTAGTTTTATCTCACAATCATTTCTTCATCACATTGTTAAGTGCTAACAGGAACTCCTACATCACATTGTCATTATACTCTTCATTTGTTTTTAAAATACTTACGACTTCTATTTTATACGGAGTATTTTTTTAGTTTTATTCGGGAAGACTTCTTTTTAATAAACTTTAAATTTTTTTCAACTCTCCGTAAACATCAAAAAAAAATTAAATGATCTATGGTAGACGAAAAAAATACACAAAAAAATTATTCAAAAAAGATTTATGATGGACGAAAAGTGTACATAGTACTCCGTAAGATTTGTCTTTAGATTAACAGATTCAATTCATGGGCCAAAAATATTCTTCGTAGTATTTTATTAAAAAAATTTATTTACAAATTATATAAAAATAAAAATAAAGGGAAAAGAAATTTATGGATATGTAGATGGAGCAATACAAGTTTAGTGTAATTTTTTTTTTGTTTTAAGATATGACTTTATATACGGAGTAGGGATGGCAACGGGTCGGGTTCGGGTCGGATAGTACTATACCCGAACCCGACCCGACCTTTAAAACCGAAACCCGAACCCGACCCGAAACCCGACCTTTTAAGCTAAAAACCTGACCCGACCCAAACCCGACATTTCAACCCAAACCCGACTTTTAAGTAATAATCAATTCGGCGTACCCCAATAATTTTAAAAAGATTACATCAAATTTTTTTGTGTCTCATTTTTTTATTAAGAAATTATAAAAATGATTATAAAAGGCATACTTGACATAGTAGCACTTTGTCAAGAAATTATACGGAGTGCTCATTATATCCATAGATAGGCTTTTATGTTATAAAATATTCGGGTTTGAGTCGGGTCGGGTGGGGGTTTGGGTCGGATCGGGTAAAATAATAAACCCACACCCGACCCGACCCGATGTCGGGTTCGGGTAAAAAATTTTGGGTCGGGTTTGGTTTATTTTATTCTCGGTTCGGGTTCAGATATTTTAGTGGTCGGTCGGGTCGGTTAAGCTCGAGTTCGGGTTGAATTGTCATCACTAATACGGAGTATAATTTTTTTAAAACATTGGAACTAGAAAAGATTTCACAGAATGAAGGAAGTCATAATTTTATACTCCGTATAAATCATATTTATAAAATACTTAAAAACATAGATTAAACAAATTAAATTATACTAAAGGTCTATTTGTACACGAAGTTGAAATTGAATTGGAAATTGAAATACTATAAGGTAGTATTTGACAACTATTATTTTATTTCATGTATATCAATTTCAAATGACAAGGGGAGGTGCATGAATTTCAAATAAATCTTTGTTATGAATGAGAAGAATTTGACTCAAATCCAAATTTAAAATTTTTAATTTTCCCAAGCATAGAATTTGAGCCAAATCCAGATTTGAAATCCAAATCCATGTTTTCAAACATACCATAAAATTAATTTGCATGGAATTGAATTCTTTAATTCCAATTTGTTTTTGGCCCTACCAATCCATATATTTTTGTGGTATCAAACATCGAAATTGAAATTCTTATTCTCAATTCTAATTCTTAATTTGAAATCTTTAATTTGTACCAAACAGAGCCTAAAGAAACAATAATTAAAACGGGTATGCAAGAGATAGGGATGAGCATGGTATGATATTGTACGGTATCTAGCTCGTACTGATATCATACCAAATATTTCGGTTGGGTATGAGATATTATGTTGTACCGATTCCGATTCCGAAACATCAGTTCGGGATGGTTCAAGATGGTTCGGTATCAGTCTCTGTACAAATCGGGATGAATATATACGTATTTAATTTACACCATAAAATGTAACAAAACCTTTAATTTTTGAAAATTGAACGTACATTTAATCAAAGAAAGATTTAAAAAAAATAGCAATGAAAAAGGTAAATCGCAATAAATGCTTATGAAAGTTAGTTTATACGGAATATATCACAACCTAAAAAGAACGAGTGATAACAAAGTATTATTTAAAATGTTTCTTAATATTCTTATACTCATCTACAAAAATTAAAAAAACTCCTATTAAAGTGCAACTTACACATAATTAAAATGAACTAAAGTGTCTATATAAATTTTTTATTTAATGAAGAAATATAAAAAGATTTATATTTTTATAATATATTAGTATATATGTTTGGTTCGGGAATTTCGGTATGGGAAGTAACTCATACGGTTCGGTTACATTGCGGTACTTTATCGCTTCAGTATTTTTCGATTCGGTATTCTCAGTTTTTTCGGGAAATATCAGGATCGTTTCGGTCCTTGCTCACCCCTAGCAAGAGATGCACCAAAATAATGTAACCCATTTATAACTCGACAAACACATACATATTATGTCGGTGCATTACATACATAATGTAACTGTGATGTTTGTGTTGGTCTGATTAAAATTAGGATACATTATTTTAACGTATTTATTGTAATAAAAAATACTCTATTCGTAGAAATCGTAATTGTATTGCTCATACTTTTCCACTGTGTGCTACATCCCATTTTGTCTCATGGAGCCGTACGCCACCCTGTTGTATTGCACATTTGATTTCTTCTGAATGAAATTTTGCTTGTCGTAAAGAAAAATACTCTACTTATACTCCGTATATACTTTTATCGGGGAAGCTAAGGTGACATTAGTCTCTCATGTCATTTTATGCCGGTGCTCCATTCGAAAAATTGATGGTTCCTAATTCTAAACACCCTGATAACCCCCCCCCCACCCCAGCTCGACCCAAAACGACCCCACACACCCCCTCTAATAGCACCCCACAAATTTTAGTAGACTTAAAAGTTAAGTTTAGACTCTAAAGTGAACTAAATTTTTTGGGGCCCAATTCGAGGAGGTGGGGGTCGGTTTGGGTCAGGCCGGGGTGGGGGGTTAACAGCGGGTGGGAGGATTTATTGGGGATGTCTAGAGGTAGGAACTATCAATTTTTCAAACGGAGTACCGTAGATGTCCCGGATCATCTTATAACTTTGAAATTCAATGTCACTTAAACTGGGTGTACTTATATTAGTTATATAGCTTCAAAGAATACTTAAAAATACTCCGTAGTTAGGAATGGCAACGGGTCGGGTTCTGATCAGATAGTACTATACCCGAACCCGACCCGTTTTTTAAAACCGAAACCCGAACATGACGTGAAACCCAACTGTTTAAGCCAAAAACCCAACCAGACCCGAATACGACATTCCAACCTGAAACCCGAACCCAATTTTTAACCAATAATCAATTCGATTTACCCCAATAATTTTAAAAAGATTAAATCTAATTTTTTGTCTCATTTTTTATTAAAGAATTATAAAAATGATTATAAAAGGCATACTAGATATTATCACTTTGTCAAGAGATTATACTAAGTGCTCATGATATCCATAGATAGGTTTTTATGTTATAAAATATTCGAGTTTGAGTTGTGTCGGATTCAGATCTGGGTCGGATCGGGTAAAATTATTAATCCGCACCCAACCTGGATTATTTTATTGTTATTCGGATTTGGATATTTTAGTGATCGATTGGGTTGGTTACGCTCGAGTTCCGGTTGAATATTCATCCGTACCGTAGTAAGCTATCCGTTTGGGTATCGAGTATACGCTACCCACAATTTACATTCTAGACTCTAGATTTTCAATTTCCATAATTTACAGAATTAGGCCCATTAGGTCCCGTTTTAAAATGATTATTCGACGATAATTTTTAGTGATAGCTTTTTTAAATTAATCAATATTAGTATTAAAATTTTACTCCCTTCGTTTCTAAATAGATTACAATTTTTTTTCCTCTCTTCTCTCGATAACTTTTACTCCCTCCGTCCTGTATCTTTCTTCCCGGTTCGCGAAACGAAGAAAAATCTCAAGTTTTTTCAATCTATTTTATCTAAATATTGGTATAGAAATAAAAAATAAAATATACATATTTAAAAACTACATCAAAAGTTCAACAAAACAAGTGGTGACAAGAATATTTTATTTTATTATATAGGTCATGAAAAAACACAAATAAATATAAATTCCCGTGAAATTGGAATAGTGCTATGGAAAGAAAGTTTTAGGATGGAGGGAGTATTTATTTACGCAATTTCGTTAAGTATTTGATAAAATAAAATATTCTTGTTACTTTTGTTTTGCAAAAATTTTGACATAGTTTTTTTTAATATGCAATTTAATATGTTATTGATATACCAATTTGTAAATAAAATAATTTCAAAAAGTAAAAATTTTTACTTCATAATCCACAATTTATAATCAAATCCGGGACGGAAGGAGACAAGGAGTATTTCAAAACAATAACCGA